TTTTATGGAACAATTTTTAATAGTTTTTTACAGTTAAGTAAAAGTCAAATTTTAGTACCATCACCTACTTATCAACTGCTATTTTTGTCTAAACATGTCAGGATGTAACTTCCCCCTTCTCCAAAGATAAATAAAGATTAAACTCCTATTTCACAAAATGTCATATAGCTTCAAAAAGAACCTAGAATGTCTTTAAAATTTTGAAAATGTAAGCAGCAATACAATTAGTTCAATGAACAGTTACTCACCCTGCTGTTTGCTGATTTGTACGCAAGAGAACTTTGACATCATTATGAATCTGTTTTACTCTTCCCAGTGCCTTGAAAAAATCCTTTAAAATTAAGAATGTGACTTTATGTCCATGCTTTCAGGTAAAATTACATTACTTGAAATTGAAAGATCACCACACAAAGGGAAAACAAATTCTTCCATCTATTCTATTTAAGCCTTCCCATAAGGATCTCAACTTTCTCTAAATTTTTATAGCAGGGGTAACAGGTATTTATTCACATTTTAAAACATATATTAATCCAATGCCTACTCTGTACCAAATACAAATAGTGTGCTAGTTGCTAGGAATACAAACTTTATACAGACAAAAATCCCTGCCCTCAAGAAGTGTATAGTCTAGTGAGAGAGAAATGCAAACCTAAAAATTACTACATAAAAGCGTACTATGTATTACATATCTATGACTTAAGCATGGCATTGCTTATTGCTGAAGATGATGTTTTATATATCTGTTACACACTTGTTCCTGCTACCTCATTCAAGAACAGAATGCAAAGCTGAACATATAAAAGATGTTCATTAAATATGTAAGAATTGATTGAGGTTGAACTTTTCTTTAGAAAAATGTACTGGAACCTTAGTTTCTAGAATGCCACAAATAGTGTTTCAACTATGCAAATAATGAATGTGTTATTTTTCTTTGATGAATAAAACTGGGGTGGGGACCTCCTTCTCTAATACTGTTTAGTATTTCTGCTAAGTAAAGAAAAAGTACGATGTCAAATATTTCAAATGTGCTAAGTTCCTCAAATTATAGTACATACTAATAAGAAATGTCTCTACCAATTCTCTCACCTACCTCCCTCCCTACTCCCAAATAGGTGGTTCCATTCCAGCCAAGGCAGTAAAAGTGATATCTACTAAGAAATGCTCACTGAGACTCCTTCCCCACCTAAAGAACCCTTCTTGCCCTCTATCTCA